CATGTTATATATGTAAATTGAAGCATTTTGATATCAGTTTTGATATTATAATATGATTTATTAGATATTATATATAGCTACTCTTAGTTTTTCAAAATTGACTTTGAGATTCCCTAATTGACCATATATATATGACCAATTGATGAAACTAATATCAATCGACTAGATTTTCAATTGTGAACACAATGATATCAATAGTTATATGATTCATGATAGTTTAAAATTGAGTTGGTCAACTAAGGATAGGTCATTAAGGTTTGAATGAATTGATATGAAAGTCAATACCAATTATTGATATACCATTATTAATTGATCTATATATGATATTATAATTGAAAGATTTTAAAATTAATATGATTTCATTATCTTGACATTCATTATTCTCATGATTACACTCCTGACATGTTGAATGATTTCAAATTGTCATGAAACTGATACAGTAGTGTTTATTCACCATTAGTAAGGTACTGTATCAATGTCATAATGATCTGTATAGTAGATGTTATTGTCACATCCCTGTAGGTATCAAGTTGATCAGCCATGTACCATATATGATATGGATGAATGTCAAAATGATATAGATGTATTTAATTATCATGTATATATGTATTGGAAGTGAATTGAAGTGGTATAGATTTCTATCTTCAATGTTAGAATAGGTCAGTTGACAAGTTGAATAGTTAGTTCCATGAGATGATTCCACATTATATGAAATTGATATATATTGTTATTAACATGATTTATAAGGTGATATATTGATTTGAAATGAATTTGAAATGTTTTCATTGATATTATAATTGTCTAATCTATTATATGAAATTAACTTATATAAGTCATTATAATGATGTAATATTATGTTATATTATGATTATATATTCAATTTGGAGTATATTGATATATAATCTATTGATTTATAATGAGTATTTATTGAGATAATGAATTAAGATGAATAAAAGTCAAAATGTTGGGTCTGACCTTAGTCGTGGGTTTGTTGTTATGGGTCCCCGCAAGGGGTATGAAGTCAATTGATTCAAGTAGAAGGTCTATTAATTGAAATAAACCAATGTGCAATCACCAAGAAACGAACCTGTGACCTCATGGTGTTGAATCCATGATTAAACCGCACCAATATGAAGGGAAGCAGAAATCATCCCTTAGTTACCCGTTAAGTAACTAAGGGAATCATCCTGCTTCTTCATATTATTAGTTTCTAGCACTTGTCTTCAATCCACTATGGATATCTCTTCATTTACTACTTGTAATCTGAGTTTCTGCATTCTGAACTAGGAATTATACTTGATTTGATGTCTGACACCCTTCAGCCATCTATGGGTTTGGAAACGTGTTGTTTTGATTTGTTTCTTCTGTGGCTCCATGGTCTTTATGATCTGATATAGGGTTATTAAGCGCCGTTTGGGTATTTTGTTGGTTTTTTTAGTAAAGTTTTAAAAAAAGTATATAGTTCTTATCTAGTTATCGAGTTGTGGTGTAAATGTGTTGTTTTCAAGCTATTCGAAAGTAGTAACGATTTCGATATTCCGTTACTTTGCGTCACTTTGCGGACGGACTTATATTCAATCAATTTGATTGTCATTCATATTGATGCGTAGAATTTTTGAGAGTATTTTTGAATGTACGTTATTTTTATCTACGCATGAATGAAAAGTACAACAATGATCAAGAGGAATTGAGTCATGAGTATGATACTTTCTCAGATTGTTCTACGCATCAAGAGTATTCGATTCAGGATTCTATTCATATATGATATTTGTAATACATATATTGAATTGGATGAGATGGAGTGCCATCTTGTTGTTAAAAGTTGAGTCGACATTAAGGTATTCAGTAAATTGATACCACATGACTAATTAGAGTGATTATATGTCATTATATCAATTTCTTTGAAAACAGACTTGCTTCTGGACCTTTCAGATTTCTAGCCACATATGACAGATCACCAAGTACT